GAGAAACAGGTGAGGATGGGTGACCTGGACCACTCGTATTCTCATCAATACACGAACACACACCTACACACACCTACACACACAGGCATCCCACATGTGAAGGCAGGCTGCTGCCTTTGAAGGGGCCCGGCCTCCTCCAACTGTCCCATGCATGCTTGAGTGATGTCAGCAGGACTGTGGAAAGAATCCTTTCCTGTCACACACACACACACACACACACACACACACACACACACACACACACACACACACACACACACACACACACACACACACACCTCCTTATCACAGGAAAATCTCTTCGCACATCAACTTGGTTTGCCTTTTTTACTACTTTTTTGGAACAAATGCACAGACACTTTAGCTTGCATAACACACACTGACTGACTTTCTTCCTCTCCTTTTCTGTCCTACACACACACACTTGGCAGGATGTGCAGGGAGAAAAAGGGAACGAAAGACAACACCGAGATTAGGAGGCTTTTGTCACGGCTCTGTGGCAGACTTTAAAGGCCTTGGCTCCCTTCCCCTCTGCCAGATCTCTTTCTTTTCTCACCCTGTCTGTCCACATCCCTCTCTTTTCACAGAGGGGGGTAGAAAGTAAACATTTGGTAAAGAGAAACGGAGAAAGGGAGGAAGGGTGGAAGGGAGGGATGGCTGGAAGAAGGATGGAAGCCGCCTGTTGCCCTCTTTTAGCCTCTTTTTGTGTTTTTGTTTTCCTAGTTGTAATGTCGGCTTTGTGGCTGTGTGGAGGATGAGTGCAGAGAGGGAGAGGTTTGCAAACAGAACAGCGCTTCAATGCCAGCCAGGTGTCTATGTTGTTCCTGCCTGTGTGTGTGTGTGTGTGTGTGTGTGTGTGTGTGTGTGTGTGTGTGTGTGTGTGTGTGTGTGTGTGTGTGTGTGTGTGTGTGTGTGTGTGATGCATCTGCGCTTTTGTGCGTGCATCCATGTGCAAACTCCATGTGTAGCTGTGCGCTCATGTATTACCTAACCATGTCAATCTCTCAGGTGTATGTGTAGGTATCTTTCAGGTTTGGTTGCGTGTATGTTTTGTCCCCAGGTGTGTGTGTGTATGTGTGTGTGTGTGAGCCCTTCATGGTCACTGACTCTATTCACCTGAGCCTTCCTTTCACAGTGAAAAGGCCGTTCTCGGTAAAAAGCTCTTTGGACAGCTTCTCTTCATCACCAACCACAGCTGCTGTTGACTCAAGCGCCCAGGAATCTCCTCGGCCGGTTAACACCCTTTTAACCAGCCAACCGCGCACCAGCACCCTGAGAGAGGGAGCAAGAGGTCCTGCAAGACCTCAAGGACTACAGGACCAAACATTTGCTCTGGCAATGGACAAGATGTAGTCAAAATGCAGCCATCTTGTTGGTCAGAGGAAGTGGGGCTGCAATAGAGAAAAGCAAACCTTGAACCATAAGTTCAATGGCTTACTCACGCAAGGTGAAAATATGCTCACTGACTCACTCACCCAGAACATTTGTTTTATTTACATTATAAGCCTCGTTGGTATGGTTATAAGTGGACGTCATACACTTCACATTGTTTCTGATAAATGCAGTAAAACTGATTAAAGGTTTTGTCTCTCAACAAAATGTAATTGCTAAAACAGATAGGCATTGAAAAACCTTTCTTTAACATTGCCACTTGACAACTAGTCATGTTGACAGAAGGTTTATGTCAAAAGAAAAAGAAAACAGTGATTTTAACCCAACAAAGGACTCATCCTTCGTCTCAGCGCCTCTGGAATGTCTTCACACTGCTTTGCACAAAGTGGAACAAACTGAAACACAAAGGCCTGCCAAAGGTTTCATTCAACAAGAGTTTCAGTTGTAATGTACAGCAATGACAAAGACTATATCCAGTTGCGTTGTGAGCGTTCCTGTACACAAATGATTTGCACGAAGCTTTTTAATTCTTTGACCGGAAGGCTCTCTCTGCAGAGCAACAACAATAGACACTTCTCTCTATTCAGCTGATCATATTAAACAGATTCAACTGAACGATTGCAGCCTAATGACTTGAACAAATGAAATGTAAATAACTTAAATCTGCATTTGAGACACTTTACACAATAATAATAATATTTTTAGATACAACAGAAAATGTGCAGTCATGATAAGTAGTGTAGGCATTCATTGAGCAGCTTGTCCCATTTTGGAAAATACTTTTTAAACAAACAACAGACAATATGAAATTATAATCTCACATTTGTCTCAGTGATCTTTACAGTTCATACAGAATATGACACCCTCCGTCCTTAGACCCTGGTTTTAGTAAACTCTCAAAGAACCCCCACACATACTCATTATATTCAGGTCAAACTGTGGTATGAACAACAATGACTTGGTTTCTAATTTATTTGGATGGTCACTTGAGACTTGAAATCCCTAAATGTTTGACATGTAGGTCTTTTGTGTAACACGACCCATGGCCCATACCTTGTGTGTTTATTGTTGTGAGACTCTAACTGTATTGTTTTTTTTTTACTTCTGGGCTTGACTTCTCTTTGAAAATCTTCTAATCTCAACAAAACGTTCACCTGGTTAAATAAAGATTAAATACAGAGACACTGCTGCACTGATTTTTCTCTAAGAAGTTAAAGTTATTACAATGTTAGGTTTCTACATAAAATGATTAAACGTATACAGATTAGATTTTTAGGATCCAAATGTCAAATAAAGACAGTAGTGCTTTCTTTAAAATGTCCTCCTCCCTTCCTGTTCTGCACATTTCTTCCCCGTCTCCTTCGACACCTCCTCGCTCTCCGCAGATCTTTTCTCCATTTCCTCATCTGCTCTCGTCAGTGTGAGCTCAACACATCTGTCAGCAGCTGCACTCTGTGTCCTCCTCCCTGCTCCTCTTCATCTTCTCCTCCTCTGTCTGCCCTCCCCGCAAACTCTCCAAGTCAATCAAATTCACCGGCTGAACATAAAAAAGGATCAGGGAAAGCAGGATATCATCTTTGAGATAAGAGAAGAATGAGAGTCGAGTAAAGAATGAAAAAAGTCACATATTTGCCTACAGTATCATTTATCCAGTCAGTTTTTATCTCACTCTTACACAGATGTAGAATGTAATATGTCTGTCATAGCTTTAAATCTTATGCTATTTATTTATCACCAGTGAGGCTTACCAGATGTAAAACCAACGCATGGAGGATTTGTAAATTCCTCAGTGAGTCATGAGTAACTGTTGACTTTGCAGCGATTTCAATACTGCAGATTCCTGTGAGGGATTTTGCTTTTCCGTACATTTGAAATGTTTCTTTTCTCAAACTTTCTGCAGTTCCTTAACCCCTTACTATATCTTAATCTTTACAATCTTAACAAGTTATTAATCCGATATTGGTCAAAGAAAACAAAATATAATATGAAAAATGTCCAATGTCAGGGATGTCTGATCCAATTGGAAGGAAATCTGGAGAAACAAGAAAGGCAATGGGACTACACAATATGTCTGGATTTAAGAAAATGTTTTTTTGTGTTTTTTAATAAAACAGGCTTTTTTTGCTTAATCTGTAGCTTGTTAGTTGCGAAAAGCAAAAAATATATTAGGCGTGTGGCGCAATGGGTTGTGCGTTGGTGTTCGGATCAGGGGGTCCCACTGCAGTCAGCATGTCGTTGTGTCTCTGGGCAAGACACCTCACCCCAAATTACTCCTGTGGGGATTGTCCACAGTATTGAGTATGTAAGTCGCTTTGGATAGAAGCGTCTAACAAGTAATATTAAATACAAAATGAATAATGGCATTGCTACTGTACATAAATAATATGTATTAGCTTCCTGCACCACTTACAGAACATTGCAATAACTTAAATAACTGAACTTAAAGCCAGTTTGTGAACACATGGTGACTGGTAGGTCTTTACCTTCTAACATCCACTGCTCCACAGGAAGTGATGTGCTTGTTCCTTGCCACACCTACACTTACTTCCTTGGAATAAACAGAGGAAGATCTGAGTGGGCAGCTTAAGCAGCAACAGCCTATTGGAGAGATAGGTGCTCTTCAATATTTCATATTAACAATAGATCACACGACTTTGTGTAAAGTGAAAGGTTTTGCTTGTAGTGATGAATCAGCATCATTTTTTTTAACTGACTCTGCAGTTCCCTTCAGGGTCTTTCAACACTGATAGGTAAAGTGATCTAGTTGGTGACCATAGAGGAGCATTTAGCAGCTAAATATGCTTATATTTACTTCAGGAGAGACTGAGGTCAGCTGGGAATGAATCTTAACTCAGAAACATAAATCGTAATTAACGCTTATCTTCTTCGGCTGGATCTGTAAAAAGCCTCTTCAAATTTATAACTTAATAATATGTAATTAGTCTTTTGCTTAAGCTTGTTCTGCTGCCCCCAAGTGGCTAAAAAGTAAATACAAATCTGGTAAGTCAAAAGTAAGGATATCTCTGATGATAAATGCCTGTTGCCGAGATCAAATCAAAAGTGGCTCAGTATTTCAAATATATCAAATGTACGATTTTTCCACAGTCCAACAGTTTCTAAAAATGCACTGCAACATTTTAGCATAATACATGTCGCTGAAAATCTGAAGAACACCCAGTAAGCTTTTTTATTATCCTATACCTCCGCCCTCTCCCAGTGCCCCATCCTTTCAGCAGTGTTTTCTTCCACTAAATGAGTCAGAGAGAGAGAGAGAGAGAGAGAGAGAGAGAGAGAGAGAGAGAGATGCTGAGCCTCACACCTTCCGTCTGCACGCACTGCGTCCATCTGTCAACCCTGCAGACGCACTCGATGACAGATGAAAAGCGGGCTGCAGCTCTCACAATTGAAAAGCTGCAACTATTTAGAGGGCATTCACTCAAAGACGGTCCCACGCTGCACTGTGAGGTATTGTTCTGCACTGGAATCTCTCTCTGTGGCAGACAATTGAATGATAGATACTCAGAGATTATTATCTCGTCCCACAGATACTGTAAAAATGCACCATCTTGAAAAACAGGTACATGCACATAGATTTACGTTTTTTAATGGCACCTTTACACTGATTACAATGAGAGAAAACGAAAATGTAACCTAAATGAGAAGAGTCTGTACAAGATTGTCGATACAAAGATTATCGATAACATTTCGTATATTCCATCAGCACATATAAATACATATTTTACAATGACATGAACATGGTATTTGCTACATAGCTTACATAACTACTATAACACAAATTCCACTCATGCAGTATAATGCCCGATTATATGAAAAAAACTAAATAAATTAGAAACTTTTGAATCTTGAGACAATTTACAGTATTTAGGTTGACCAATATGTTGCTAGAGCTATGTTATGGTTCAAAGTATTCGTACTAAATTATCTAACAGTAACGATCATTTCAATACTAATGTCATTCCATGTACATGCTAGTGGTAAGTGCACATATACACAGTCTGTGGCAGTCCATCAGCTTTGACACAATACAACTTTAACATGTGAAATTAGTGAAACGAAGGGAACTGATTGGACAACAGTTTTCACAGAAGAACAAAGCAATGATTATGGAAAAATGTCCAGCCCATCCAACAGAAAGTTATACATCAAAGAGCACACTCGCAGCTGTGTGGTGTGACTTTGTCAACAGATGTTTCAAACCAGAACAAATAGGAAAACAAGAAGAAGATGCCAGAGGGAAATATTTAGCTAGTGAGGAAAATCATTTAGATAGACAGCATGCTCACTCTTTGCTGTTCTGATGTACTGATAATAACTTACCATGTCTAACGTGAGGGCATTGTACTGGAGGGATGAACAAGAAAGAGGTTATCTGAATATAGGCTAGGTGTAGGCTAGACTTTCTTTAAAGTTGAAACAAAGGACTTCACAGGTTTATGAGAGAAAAAGGGATTTAAAATTGGCATATAAGAGACTAAAGGCCTGGCTTAGAGTTTGATTCTGAGCTTTTCAGGACAAAGATATCATACCAATGAGTATTATAAAGAATCGGCATACATGATGTATCCATATGCATATATTTGTACATATTCCTATTTGAGTTTAAAAATGTATGTGCAAAAATACATGCTTAAGAAAGACCACATGTGTAACTAAATCACCAGGTGATTTCAATATATCACTTCACATGGATGTTCAAATACACTCTTGTGAAGTCCTACCTGATTTATTTCATCCTTAAAAAAATCCTCTGCAGAGAGAAAATCCACCTCAACTACATGACAAGCATAGTATCATATTTGAGATTTTCTTTTTTTTTAAAAAAAACATCTCTGGACAGAGTCACCACACTGTTTGATCCGTATGTGGCATGTGCGCCTTTCAGAGAGAACTATAATGGGAAACAGCTGATCTTAGTTTTTCATTTTGTTATAATATAGTGGTCAGATTCATGAGAACACAGAGAGAGAGAGAGAGAGAGAGAGAGAGAGAGAGAGAGAGAGAGAGAGAGAGAGAGAGAGAGACTCTGATGTGTCTAGCTGTTTGTGGTGCTGGTTTCCAATGAGATTTGAGTAACCTAACAGAAGCAGTGAAGGTACACATTTAGCGATAGAATGAGAGTAAAATGTCAAATACATGAATAACCACTTTACTAGAGAGGGTAGGAAACAGTATGTCTCTAAAACACCTCCAACAACAAATATGTCTCATGGCTTTGGTACTGTAAAAAACAATACTCTAATACTCTAATACTGTTCTGTAGTTTTGAAGATGATTTTGATTGGCCGTTTTAAAATCCTTTGGGTTTTGTGGATCACTTATATGTTTCTCGTCATGCTCCATGAGGGTCTAATCACCTACAAATATGACTTTATATTTAAATCCACTCTCTCCAACTAGAGCTTACATTGGCTTTGAAAACATCTAATCCAGATATCACTTATATAGAGTCCTAATTAGCTTGACTCGTAGCAGCTGCTGCAGGTGACCCCTCGTTAGCGGCTCCTCACAGGTGTTTCCAATCAACCTGGCTGATTAGACCTCTGCTCAGGAGGAAGCCATGGAGGAGCAAACAAACTCAACTTATGAATGAGTATGATGAGGGCTTACGTTTTCCCAGCCTATATGGTGCCACAAAGCACCTGAGAGGGAGGAACATATTCATCAAATGCACAAAACAGAAGGAGGTTCAGCCAACATGAATGAAAACACATGTGGAGGAGCATCATGGCAGTGTGGGGTTTCAAATAGCAATTACATGAGACTAAATGGTTATACAACTGCTTCAAAACCAACCTGTTAAAACATTTTAAACACATTTCTCATAATTTAATAATTATTTTTATTTTTAGTAGCAAATCTGCAGGCATGAAAATTGTACAAAAATATATATCCTGGACATATTTTAAAATGCATCGAGGAGTTATTCTGATTAATTGCAATAATACAGGATTAAAAGCAGTTTATGTACGTTGGCGGGTTCTGCTAAAGTAATCAACCTGAATTTAAGCAGCACAATACTTTGAGATATCGATATTGGTTTCAGTTTAAAGCAGCATCTCATAATTGACCTTTTTCAGCATCTTAAATTCGCAAAATAGAGCAGACAGGGTGAAAGAGGGCTTTAGAGGTGAGACGAAGGCACTATTGAAGAGTGCACGTGCAGCCTTGATCCATTATACTTGAGATCTTATTGTGAGGCACTTTAGGATGAAGTTCCTCTTTTTAAAGCCCTCTAAATCTCACAACAGATTAAGGAGACTCTGTGACATATCCAATGATCCGACAGCTAACCACGAAATCTGGAAACAATTGTTTGAAGGCACGTTTTTACACCAAGGCATTGTTGATGATCTTTGAGTACTGTTTGCTACAAAGGTTAAACGTATCTCAACTAAGGAGAGCGGCTTTCATCCTGCAGAAGGTGTGGATACAGCTGGAGGTGTTTATGGCTCAGTTTGGCTGATGCCAGAGGATATACTCTTAAATGAAGCTATTACATTAGGCACATGCTATATTGTTCTTTATATATTACCCAGGATGAGGAACCATGCTAAATGCCATATTCCACTATATAGTACATTAGTAGATGTAGGCGAGCTATTTCTGCTGTTACTGAGGAGGTTGTGGTTGTGTCCAATACTAAAAAAAACTTGAAGTTGCTTCAAATAAAGCAAAAAAGGAAGATATATAAATCTACAGCAAAAAAGATTATTTAAAAATAAGCTTTGATAAACATGTTTTGGGATTTTTCTTTCATACATTACACTGGATTTCTTAAAAAATAAGGATCTTTGTCTTCTTTCTTTACATTCTTCATTGTTTGTGTCTGTTAAAAGTCTGTGTACACATTACCGTGGCTGCAGCATGATGGGGAAGAGTTGCGTGACTCCATGTTTCTGTATAAAAGTCCTCATGGTGTCCTGCATGTGGCTTTCCAGCAGTGAGTCTGGACTGAAGGAGTCTGCATGCTCAGGGACATGTTCGTGTGAGAGCTGGTGTGAGAGCGTGCTAACACTGGTAGTGGATGTGCTGGTGCTGGTGCACTTTCCCGTCCACGTGTGAATGTGTGTGTGTGTGTATATCCGTGTAGATCTTCGGATAGACCTTGGGGGCCAATCCAGCGCCTCCCTGAGCGAGGAGCAGCTGCTGGTGGGCGATGTAGTCCTCGTATGAAAGACAATCTTTATCCCCATTGGCCGGTTGAGGAGTTACCGCAGGACAGGCTCGGTCTCGATTAGGGGCCGGAAGACGCTGGGCGGTGGGAAGTGCAGAGGAGGATGAAGAGGAATTAGAAGAGCAGGTACGTTTGGATTGGCAGAACCAGAGGAGGGCGGTGCCTAAGATGAAGGCGACACCGGCTGGGATTCCAATAATGACGGGCCAGGGGAGGCTCGGGGAAGATGCTGTGGGGACAGCGTTGTTTTGGGGCTTCAGATCTGCAAAGGAGACGAGGAAATGAACATCAGTAAATATGAGTGTGTTGAGGTTTGAAGAACATGCAGTTAGCTGATCTGAGCTAGCATGTTATCCTCAGGTGATTTTATAATAAGAAGAGGTGTATGCTTTGCTGTTTTCAGAGGTGAAGTAGCTGCATGAGATTGCTCAGTTGTATGGTGGCTTGACCAAAAAGAAATACAAATTCTAGTCTGACCATAAGCTCTATGTCTGAAAGTCTGTACACTGATAAGAAGTCATTGTTCTTTAAATACAGTGTGCAACAAACAGAAGCACGTGGCTAACTATTGTGCAGCACGATGGCAATGGCATGTTAAGCTAACAACCTCTGAAGACTGTCGATAGTGTCTCTTTTTCATGTAACTGGTCACTATCAAGAGCAGCAAAACAACTTTTATGTTAACTTCCTCTAATCAAATCTGCTGGTCCAGTAACTTCCTCTCTAGTATTTTAAACCACAGCAATACTAATCACATACAACTCTTCCTGTGCATGTCACGGTGCGTCCCAATACCTTTAATAACATACTATTTGGTCTGCTAGAAGACAATTTAGTATCTCCCAGTACATCGTATGTCAAGCCAGCGTGCTTTTCCAGGCCCACAGCACATACTTTGTTGGGGCAGCTGCAGTACATATTAAAAGAAAAAGAAAGTATGTGATGTAGTTTGCATCCTTGATCTCTCTCTGACCTGGCAGCACGGTGAGGTAGGCGCTCCTGAAGCTGTAGCCCATGGTGTTGGCTCCCAGGCAGATGTACATGCCGGCGTCCTCCTCCTTGGCTCTGGCGATCAGCAGCTTGTTGAGGTACGATCCGTCAGGGCGGGACCACACCTCCCCTGTGGGCAGGACCACGAAGCGGTGGTCTCCAACCTTTGGAAAGCATCATGAAAAGTTTATCGATCCATTCAATCAGAGAATAAGGATTACATGTAGCAGTGTGTGTGTTTGTACCTCGATGGTGGAGTTGAATTTGTTCTCGTCACCGGGTTCGACTCTTTTCAGCCACTGAATGACAGGCTTGACGTCGCTGCGGACTTTACACTGGAAGGAGGCGGTTCCTCCGTAGTCCACGGTGGTGTTGACCGGGTGAGTGCCAGTCAGAATGGGTTTAGAGTTGGTACGTTCTGAAGAAGGAAAAACACAGAAAGAAAAAGTATATTTAATATACATTTCTATTTTATTGAACATGGATCTATTGGATTGTGTCACCTTGTCTAATTCATCTGCAATCAGAAATCAAATCAAAGGAAAAGCAGAGTTTGGAAAAGCCACATTTATGGTTCATCAAATGATTGGAGTAAATAAAACTAACAAACGCTGAGAGAATATTATATGATTTGCAGCATTATTTGAACAGTAACTGATGAATTTATCACCACACCCTCCCTCTCTGTTGAAGATACACAAACACCCCCCTTATCTCCAGCTCTTTCTCAGTTTATACAGCAGAGCAAACACACCTGCCACAGATATTCAAAAGTCTCTTTCCTACTATCTGTTAATACGATCACACTAGAACGTAACCGGAAAAATGAAGTTGCAGGTGTATTTTTTTTACCTTGAGTGATCTGTAGGACCCTACACATTGCAGTAGTGTTACACATGTTGTTTCATAAGCTCAGGGTGCTCTAACTTTAAATATTTGAACTTTATAAGTGTGAATATAGTCACAGCATTTCCTCAAGCCATCTGGTAAACTGGATACCTACAATGAAATGCAAATAGGCCAGACTCACATGTGGACAGGAGGAATGCTGAATGGTGTATGGTGGGTAATATTCATTTCATATATCTCGTTGTAATTTTTTCAGCTTCAAGAGCTGAAGCATGCTCTGTCAGGCAGGTGCAAACCCACAAGATAAATCATCTATGAATTATGTTCCTCACATAGTTGACCTACTATCTCTACTTATGGATTATATATGTTTTTTTATGGGAGATTTACAGTTTTTCTGTGCTGGACTCCCTTTTTCAAAGTGTTCTTTCTAACAGCTGTGAATGACTGACGGCCGAGTGAATCTCCAAAATGTCACATTTGACATTAGCAAGCAGCGGTTGATTTACTTTCTGTTCATGTGTGTGTGTGTGTGCGTGCACATGTGTGGTGTCTTTCAGGAAACACTACAGCTGTACTTTAATGGTCAACAGATGTGGCAAGTAAAGTGAGAGGAGCTGGTCTGAGGCTATCACATTCAGTAACACACACACACACACACACACACACACACACACACACACACACACACACACACACACACACACACACACACACACACACACACACACACACACACATACCATGTATACATCACTTCAGGGGACATTACATTGACTTACATGCATTTCCTGGAGACTTATCCTAACCTTAACCATAACCAACACATGCCTAACCCTAACCCTAACCCTTAACCTTACCCTTACCCTAATCCTAAACCTAACCAAGTCTTCACCCTAAAATTAATGATTCCCCTTATGGGGACCTCCAATTTGTCCCCCTAAGGGAAGCGAGTCCCCACACGTGACTGTGTACAACAGATTTAGGGTCCCCCACAAGTATAGTAGAACACACACACACACACACACACACACACACACACACACACACACACACAAACACACAACACACACACACACAAATTCAGCTCTACCAAAAAACTTCACATTAAATCATCCAGCGTCAAAACAGCTTATGCCGCCCTCCAACACAACCTAATACATCAGAAAACACTCACAAATCATCACAGCACACATTCTGCCCTCAACAGTAAAACCGGAGCGGCCTCAGACTGAAACTGCAGCTGGCTCTCTGTCCGCTCCGAATCCTCAGAGCATTCCTCTCTCACTCCGCTGGTGTTTGCTGACAAGCCTGGTGCCGATCAATAAATGCCTCTGAAGGCTTTTCAAAACTATTTTAAACTCTGATACTTGGTACAAATCATTAGCTAGCTAGTCGCAACCAATCATAAAACCTAAAAGACCTACATTCAATTATTTAAATGCAATGAAATTAAAATGTGGACATTATCAAACAAGATTGTTTTTGGATGAGTTGCAGTTTGTGTCAGAGATATCTTACTATCATACTTACTCATCACTTGTTGGCAACATGTTGTACAGGAACACAAGAAAGATATGTATGTTTCATGTTGGGTTGAACAGGCCCTTTACATAATTCATATGCTGATAACTAACCGTCCTTTTCGCTCTTAAAACAAGATGTCTTCAGGTACTTTCCAAGCAGAATACGCCTGATCATTGGCATCAGACTCTTTGACAGCAAATCATTAAAATAGTTGAATACTTAATTATAGTCTTTTTATGATAGCTTATAAATTCTACACAATCTCGGTATTGTGAGTCAGAACGGAAAACACCCTTATTATTTAGTCAGACAGGGCTGTCAGTCAAACAATGAACGATGGATGTTATTGTTTGGGTGAGACGCATTCCTGCTGTTGTATCATATTCCAGGACCACATTCACAAAAATGTGTTCTCTGATGTGTCGTGACAGGAATATACCACATGCGGCCATATGTTACATAGCCTAAGTATTTAAGAGGCACATGTTATTGTTATTATGTCTTTTCAAGATCTTTTAAGGTGCATTAAGTGCAGATAGTGAAGTACACGGTCAACTACTGCCCTCACTCCTATTTATCTTTAAGGTTAAGCATCTAGTTTAAAGGTGACTCACGTATGACTTCCACTTTGTAGGTGGCGTTGATCTCTCCCGCCTTGTTGGACACGTGGCAGGTGTACTTCCCGCTGTGCTTGGGCATCAGGTTCTTCAGACTCAGAGTCCACTTCTTCTTCTTCCCTTCTCCTCCTGCTCCAGCGTCCTCGTCCACCAGAGGCTGGCTGTCCTTCAGCCACACGATGTCGGGGCGAGGGGTCCCGCTCGCTGCGCACTTCAGACGCACTGAGCTGCCCACAGGACGAGCGATGACCCGCTTCCTCATCTTTGACGGCTGTGTGAAACGTGGACGCACTGCGAGTAGAGAGAAAGGGGTTAAAACTGTGATTAGAAAGAGATCTAGTATTGGAGATAACATTTGAATGCTTTTTGCTGCCTTGAGAATATGGACTCGAAACCTAACACTACTCTGTATAAAACTAGGGCTGCTCAATTAATCTTATTATAATCGCAATTACGATTATGGCTTGCAACGATTACGAAAACAACGTAATCGAAATAAAACGATTATTTTTTATTATTGCTTTTTTTTTGTGGGGTTTTCAGTTGAGTTATACTTAAAGTTCAGAGTAATCAACTGTTAAAAAAATACTGTTCACATTTTTTTTTTCCAATAAATAGATGTTTTCAAAGTAAATGGATAATCGTTTTTAATAATCGTGATATCAATTATTGACCCAAATAATCGAGATTATGATTTTTGCCATAATCGAGCAGCCCTATATAAAACTTTCACCTCAAGTAAAAAGACAAAAAACACTATTTTTCTCACACTCAGTCAGACACAGATGAGAAAATGTAAAGGGGAAAACAGAAGAAGTTACTAGCGGTTTACGAAGCAGTTTTTTTTTTATACAAGCAGTGTTCTGTTCTTCAAAACAACAGATTGGGAAAGACGGTTGAACTCATCAGAGAGACTTTTATGAGACGTAAGGAGCGATCAAAGACATGTCATCTGAAGAGGCCACGGCACAAAGGGAGGGCTCACGAATACAGTTGTGCTGAATGTTTCTGTAGCTCATCATTTACAGAGAAGCAGCCATTTTGCTATTAAACAATATAAAAATGCATTTTGTGGATTTGTTGTTGTTTCATTGTTTTCTTTTGGGAATATAATATTCTTTGAAATATGTTCTTTTCAAGCCCTACAGCTAACCTTCTCCATTCTTCTGCATCTTTGGAAATGGAGTGGTCAGCGGCTGCAACACAAATACCAACTTTGCTCTTAAGCGAGACATAATTCACAGTTTATTAATATATCATTTTAATAAGAGAGGAAGAACAAATGCCAGGATGAAGTACTGTGTATTCTCTGAAGAGTCATGGTGGTTTGAAAAACTCTCTAGAATCACAGAGCTACCAAGGAATACTCTGCTGTGGTCCTTCTTCTTTGCACCATGAAATCCATTTCTTAGTTAGGAGATGATAACTATCTGCATTTACCCACAAGTACATTCATACCGAAAAAGACGTCCCTCTTACAACCTATTCACCTGTTTTGACAAACTTAGCGAACGTGAAAAATGGGGCGAATTGAATGGTCTCAGTCAGAGATAGAGTGATTTGGAAAACACTGAAGATGTGGTTAGGGGGGTCAGACCTGGTGAGGTCATCGCTGCAGGCCGTGCCAAGAACTGCATGTTGTGCAGTAACAACATATGGCAGCGTGCCTCCTGGTATATACAAACCTAATTTGAGGTAATAAACCTAATTGTCTGTTTAAGATTTTTTTTTGAATCACTTCCTCTTCTGGCTGACACACACACACACACACACACACACACACACACACACACACACACACACACACACACACACACACACACACACACACACACACACACATTTTCCACTGATCCTGAACCTCTGGCCCCAGGGTTGCACGCCGCTGCTGTTGTTAAAGAAAGCCACATATTTGGCCTGAAATCATGCATCCATGAATCCCCGTCGTAAAGAACGTCTGGACCGCTCTGTAGCATCTCTGTAAACATCCAGTCATGAATGCACATCTTTGCACAGGTCGTAAAAAGCCAGACAGCGACCACAGCAAACATCCGTTCATTCAAGCAAATCCTTTCTTACAAAACATAAAATGGCAAGTTAACCCTTTACACCTCTTCAAACATCCACATCCTTTCGCACAGTTACATGACTTACCCCAATCCGGCCATTCAAACACACATATTCCTATTTAAGGTACAAACCAAACAGAAACCCATCTGTTCTATTCATCTTTTATTCTCTTTTATTTACCTTCTTCATCACCTCACCTCTGGCTACAAGAGAACTGCCATTCATAGTTTCTACAAGTTCCTGTTTTGTTTAAAGGGGACCTATCATGCACCTTTGTACGTCTTTTATAGATGAATATGTGTCCCCGGTGTGTCAGGGAACTCACCAAGTGTCAGAAAACACAACCCTCTCTCTTTTCCTCCATACCCAAATCTCTAAAAACGGGGCTTTAACGTATCTGATACAGACTGATACAGATTTGAAATATCTCTGACGTCAGAAACGAGGAGCTCCGCCTATATGGCCAACTCTCCACCAATCAGGGGAATGAGAGGTTGCCGTAGCATGGTAACAGCATGGTAACAGCATGGTAACAGCATGGTAACATGACGCTCGTAACTCGGCCCCCTCCTTTGCAGGGGGGCGTGGTCAGCTGCAGCGCATGCAAAGACAGGGTGGAGGAGAGCAAAATAGAGAGAAAATGAGGCATGAAAAATGCATGATCTGTTTGGTATTTTGAAAAAGAAAACGTATAAAATATACCTTATATAGGCATGGCCCTACAATATATTATTAAAATATAGCATGATAGGTCCCCTTTAACCTTCAATAACCCTGCACGATTTTTAACAAATTCATCTTACATGCATTTACATTTTCAATAAAAAAATAAGCTGCAACTACTTTGCACACTTGTCTAATGAGTATGGTATCCTTTGTGTATATTTGACCTGTTTTGTATAGTATATTCTAACTTATTTATAATGTCTGTGTATATCTTCCTAAAGTTGATATATTTACTGTTTTTATGTTATTTTTAATCATGTGCCTTGCCCGATAACCTGATGCTGCTGTAACAAATACAATATATTAGTATCTATTCACACAAATATCCCTCTTTGTAAAAACACAACAATCGGTGAGCAGTGAAAGCAGATCAAAGAAAAAATAACTATCCAGTAGGGAGGGAGGAGAGGAAATCATTCACAGGAGCGCTTGATTTTACAGCCCTCATGTTCTAGCCACAGCAGATAGCCATCAACCGGGCGGTAAATCACCCGGAAACTGCTGCTGTTGCGCCTCTCTCTTTGGACGCAGTTATTTTCCTAGCTCTGAGTAAACAAACAAAGGGGGAGAGTTATGTGACGGGTTTGTAGATTTCACTACGGCTGCATTTCTCAGAGGAATACAGTCCTCTGCTGTTGGCGGGAAGCTGGGCAGGATGACAGGAGAAACATACGCCCCCCCACCTCGTCTCTGAGGAAAGCTACTGGACTGCAGCTGAACTGTGACCGGTCTGAGTCAATAGACCCTCAGAGAGAGGAGGATAAATAGAAGGCAATGATTAATAGTTTAACGTTTTAGTAATGTCCTACAATTCAACTGCTCTGGCTTAGGCTGGAAATAATTCAGAAGAACAGAGAGGAGCCAAAGCAACAGCTGAACCAAAGTGAGAGAGAATGAACAAAATATAGCACGTGAAATGAACTGATTCATATTATCTGAGCTGAACCAAGTGAAACACAAGTGAAGGAGAGAACAGATGGAAAGAGATAGATAGAAGTTCAAATGAAGGTTAGCACTGACAGATTGCTAAAGAGGAATAAAACTGGAGTGACAGCAGAAGGAAAACGAGAACAAAGAGAGCGGGTTGGAGTTAAAACGATATAAAAGCAAAGGTAAGAGAGGGCACACGTAGAGGTAGAAAGAAAGAAAAACAGAGCGAGGGGAGAGGGTGAGAGGGGAGAGGGTGAGAGGCAGAGTGGGGAGAGGGCAGCTTGTTCTGGGTCTCTGGGGCCGCTTCAACGCCACACTTCACAGTGTAGAAATACTGCCGACCCCCCGACTCACCGCCTTTGATCACAGTGTGTCAGACGCAGAGAGAGAGAGAGAGAGAGAGAGAGAGAGAGAGAGAGAGAGAGAGAGAGAGAGAGAGAGAGAGAGAGCAGTGATTTCCATTTCAGGTTCAAGCTAACTGATGTCATTTTGTTATATCTTGATTTGGGATCTTTTGGATTTCAAGGTTTAAGGTGAACGTTTAGGTCAGGATTTGGACTTGTGATTGTTTTTGCTGAGAGTTAGATGATTGATACCACTTTCATGTCTGTGAAGCTAGCCTGTCTGCCTCCAACGTTTATAATAAAGAAAACAACAATCCTTGACATTAGTTGTTAAAGGTTGTTTGTTTAATCTATACACATTTTAAGGAATTCTAACCTTAACCCTAACCCTAAGAACAGCAAGTATTTTCTGTCTGTTTTTGTATGAGTTTGTAAACACATGAAACTCTACAAAATGTGGAACATTACTTTCTTTGAATCCACAAACTTTTCACATTTCTGTTCATGGAATTTGGTTAGGAGAGTATGAAAAGCTGCATGAAAGCAGTTTATTTTTTATTAATTTTGGACAGTGCCAGTCTATCTTTTCCCTGGTTCCTATTTGCTATGCTAAGCTATGCTAACTGCCTTCTATCTATCTCTAGCTCCGTACTCCACGATCTCACAAACATATTCATCTCATTATCTGACCCTCTATTTTTCAAAATGACAAACTATTTAGTCAAAACAGAGTTGAATTTACACGCATAGTTCAAGATTCATCCCTTTATTCATCAATGAATGAAATATGATCCAGGAAGTATAGTTTGCGTAACAGATACATGTGTTTAAAGTCCTTGAAACACTCACTGACGTTATCAGGGAGGCAATCATTTTATCTTCTGTCCCAACGATGGCAAGGTTAACAGCGGTTGCAGTGTTCACATTACTATTTAAATAAATAAGGGGGCTGTGCTCTGGTCAGTTTGAAGCAGCCTCTGCCATAGTCGTGAGTGTTTACATTTGATCGTGTGTGAGCACAGAGTGGAAAAAAGATAAAGAAAGAATGTGTGTGGAAAAACAAATAGAGTAAATGTTTGTTGACTTTTAATTGTGAGTGTGTATGGATGTTTATGACCGAAAGAGGGAGAGAAAGAGCGGGAGACGGGGTGGACGAGTTGTATAAAAGGATAACAAAAGCAAAGGGTTAAATTATTTGGCAGGGAGACCGGGGGGGGAGGAATGTGTCCCACCGAATCACACCTCACACAAATAGACTGTCCTCCACTCTGTCAGAGCCAATTATCAGAGCAAAGAGCCACCCTGATGTGTGTGTGTGTGTTTGTGAGTCTGTGTGTGGCACTCCGACAGGGTGCAAGGTGTTTATTGCACAATCTGCTCCTGTCCTTTTTAAACGTTACACACTCCCTCAGCTATCTAAAGTGTCACTTCTAGCCTCACTTCTCATTTTCTGAAATGTTTTTTATAGGAGTAGTGATGAGGTGAGATGTGAGCGGTTACCCAGTTTTCCAGCCAGCTCCGGGGCGTGTTCAGGGTCGCCATTGGCCTCCGCCGCTCCATCTCTGGAACTGGAGTCATCTGGTGACGGAGAGAAAGATGAGCATCGTTAGGAAATGAGCAACCTTTGAATATTAGAGCTGCAACAATTCATCAACTAATACATGAGTTAATCCACATCAAATGAATGCCAACTTTTCCATTCCACTGTTATAAAAGTAATTTGTCATGAAAAAATAGCATAACATGTTGTTGTTAGCCTCTCAAATATTAAGATGTTTTTTCTTTTCCTTGTTTAATATCATATTCAACCAAATATGTGTGGATTTTAGACTTTAAGCCCTTTAAAGGCATCAACTTCAAAATGAGAAACTGGAATTTGCAATACTTTGTGAACCAAACAATGAATCAAAAGTGAGGCTAATATATGAATAATCCATTCTGGATAATGGTTTATATTTAAAAAATGGGTTAGTTGTAGGCCCATGTGTAATAGTGTATACAATGAGACACGATGCAGTAAACTCTATGAATGAGACAAATACATATTGTAAATCTGTACTTTTGGTTGAAATACCATTCTTATTAAATCCACTAGTTGCATCATTTAAAGTAAAAATAAAGATTAATCATTTGCACCAAAGCTCAGCTAGGTCTACTACAAATGTTTTATAAGAACACATAAAGTCTCACAAGTGTATGGGAGTTAGGATGGATTATTTAGGAGGGTTTTTTCTCTGTCTTCTATCAGTATCTGACAGTTCTTTTTATAAGATGCAGCTGTTTCAGCATGGGGTCGCATGGCTGTCCAACATAAATTCAAGTTATCAGTGATACATTGCCCTCACAAATTGGATGCAGATTGTTACAAGGTGGGGAGGTGGAGAGCAGAAGCATCACTGTTGATACTTTAAACATCTGGAAATATTGTATTTTCAATGTTAATAGTCGTCAACAGTAAAAGTAGGAATACATATAGAAGGTAAAATCTGGCTGTAAGGTGACACTGAAGTGTTTCAAATCAAAGGCAAGAAGCAATTTCTGGCTTTCAAAGTGTACTTTCCACACAGCACTTGGCCCTCATCACCCCACCACACATTTGAAATTGCTCAGCCGCTTCCCATTCCTCAAACCAGAAAACCAAATGACAAATTACGTGATATCTCTGTCCTCTGCTCTGACTGTGCCAGCGACATGTTGTCACTCCCTGGTGATGAAAGCAGTGAAATGATTGCTACAAGTCCCTTTACTTGCCTCTACTTTACCCTCAAATGACTAATTCCAGACTCATGGCATTTAGGAAGCATGACCATTTCTGTCCTAAACATTACAAATTTTGATTTTTTTCTCCCCAAACTTGCTTTTACAAAGAAATGGTTTGATCCATAGAGTGAATTCCTTCTTGAATACCTTCATACTGTACTGTATGTGCCGTTCTCACACTCCACGGTATCATATTGCTTTACTGTAGCTCTCACGCTGGTGTATTGGTTTACGTCCCTCAGCAGGTCTTCCCACATTGATTATCAAAAAGATACAAACATCTGTCTGAACCTTCACGCCTGGAACCGCTTCAAGGTGGGTCCAATGTATGCGAGGGGCCCTTTAAAACAGACGGGGGGTATTGATACAGTGCAATATCAGGTCTGTCCAAATATGTAAAGGGATGTGTGTGCAGTCAACTTGAACCTGAAACTTCAACCAAAACCTGTTTGTCGTTATGGAAAGAAAAGGACTAAAAAGCCTCGGACCACCTGGAGGGATATTCGTGAGAGTGTGTGATTTTAAATTGATATGTTTATTGCTCATTTCGGTACGGATAAGTGCGTGGATTTAAAATCCACCTGCAAGCTCAGAGTGTTGAATGCTGCGCCAAATGACTTAAAAGCATCACTGTTTGGATGGTGGAGTTGCTTTTGTAATGCAAATACGAGGCATGACCTGCATCCTGGAAGCTGGTATTAATAGCAGGCAGGCAGCATGAGTGTGTGTCTTTGTGTGTGTGTGTGTGTGTGTGTGTGTGTGTGTGTGTGTGTGTGTGTGTGTGTGTGTGTGTGTGTGTGTGTGTGTGTGTGTGTGTGTGTGTGTGTGTGTGTGATATGAATTCCTGAATGGGTGTGTCTGTGCGTGTATGTGCAATCTGCCGTTATTTAACTAAGGGGTAACCTGAGGTGGGGGTATTCTTGTTGCACCAACTTACTCCCCCTTTATCTATCCCTCCCGCCACATGCAAGGCATGTTCTGAAAAAGGGCAGCGCGTTTGAAGACGAGCGGCGTGGGGGTCTGATGTGAAGAGGGAACATGCTCTACGCTCTGAGCAGCTAGCGGACCCTCCCCCAGGCGTGGAGCGAACCTGTAAACCTCTCTTTGCAGACCGACCCCCTACAGACGCACTCAGAGGGGGGGTGGGCCGCTTTCACTGTCCATACACTGCAGCCATACATCAAAAGTATCGAAATATTTCCAAAATTCAAAACATATATATGTGTAGCAGCTGTGTACTGGTATACTGATGCAGAGGATAATCAGAACCTGAGAGGCAACAGAAAACCATGACTCTGACTTAGGGCTGCACGATATTGGAAAAAACTGACATTGTGATATTTTCTTCCCCTGCGATATATATTGCGATATGAAAAAATACAGGAATTGAAGAAAATACACTTTTTTTCCCCCGCAAACCATCTTTTCTTGAACTTTAATGCTATACAATTGGTATTTGTTTTAACTATATTTAACCGGATGAAGGATTTTAGTCACGGACTTCTGGATCTTAAGTTATCAGAGCAACAAGCTGAGCTAGCTTGGTTATCCTGCTGTGATCTGATCAAGAATGGTTGTGATTGGTGGTTTCAATTGATGTCACTCACTCAAGTACCCCTGACATGAGAGCCGCGCGAGTTTTCCTTTTGTAGCAAGCAGCAAAATAATTTAGCATTAAATACATGAGCATAAAATAATACTTTACTTCACCAATATCCAAACTAAAAGTATTTTCCACAATGGTCAATTTGCATGAAGTATGTTATTGGATTATAGATATTGGTGCATTATGAACATATTTTACAATATATACTGCCGGGTAGCTTATTATCAATAACGATTACCTTAACCTATAATAATACATCATTATGTTTTGTTTGTGATAATTTAAATCCTTGATGTGAATCTTCAAATTAACTAAAGCTACTAAAAGTACCATATGTGTTTCTGAATTGCAGTGGAGAAGAAGTATAAAGTTGAAGGAAATGGAAATACTCAAGTAAAGTACCGTCAAATCGTACAGTAATTATGATTATATCACAGCTAAGGGGGCGTTGTCAAATCGGTCTTGCTGCCCGCAAACTAAGATGCAGGTTTTATTAAAGGTAAAATAGCAGCTAGAAAGTACTTTATTTACATTATTTGTATATTCCATTCTTTATGCAACCACGGAAAAACTGTCCATTGTCAGTGGGATGACTTTGATAACCTCTTGTTTTCTGTTTGCAGTTTTTTTTCGGTTAGGTGTGCAGAGCTCATTTCTGACTGTTTATAACTGAACACACACAGAGAAGAAAACATATCCCCTCCCTGCTTCAGCTGCTTTTAATAAACAAAATGTTTTCTTCTGATCTTGTTCCACCTTCTAATGTTGGCTCAGATACTTTGGCTGGTGATTACAACAACTAATACACACACACACACCCAATGACCTTGCCAAATACACACATGTATATGTGAAGGCAAGTTGCATAAGCAAGACAAAGGCAGATATATACTCCAGTCCAGAGTTGACCCCAAACATTGACCGTAAAGATAGCAACTGTCATTTCTGTGATATATATTGTCATTACCGTACACAGACTTTACTCTCAATTTTGCAAACAGACTGTATCAAACATATTTGCCATACACATATTTTATTATTCCTTATTTTACTGTCTTCATTCCTCCTATTTCAACCTTCACTTTTTCACCTCATTCCTGTTCCTTCCATTTCATTTTCTGCCTCTTTTCTTCTTTGTTTCTTTTCATCTTCAGGGGGGTAAATGGTTCAACAGTGTGCTACATTTCACACATTCACTGGCGGGGTACCCCTTAGTGAGTGTATGTGTTTGTATAACCCCTTCTTGTATTTACATTCAGGTCTGTAGAGAAAAGGCAGCAATTGGAAATGAGCACGCTCAGGAATATAAGTACTGACAGTCCAGTATGTGAGTGTGTGTGTGTTTAAGAGTGTGTGTTTGTGTGTGTGAATGTGTCCAGGGGGCCGGTGTTTACCTAAAGGGTCATGTCCTTCCAGGTTTTAATATAGAGACACTGGATATGTGGATAGAAACTCATGTGTGAAGGCTGGTTGTTGCAGCATCAGGGCCAAAACCAGCCTGATGCTGACAAACCCAGAAAACCACCGCTAGTCCTAAAAACTGACCACGGTCACATTCAGGCTTCACTCAGACACAGCATGCATCACACTTCAATGTCTCACTTCATAATTCAGACAGGAGCTACCACAAGCTCTACATAACTCTGGAAGATAATTTATGTTTGCTTCAGCTTGCTTTAAATATTGCAGTTTTGACAAAAGTTTAAGTTTAACGCGACTGAATGCTGCGTACATAATCAAAAATACAAAAATGTTATCTTTACATGGATGCAACTTGGCTCTACTTTTAACCTGATCTACAGCTTGAATCAGGTACTGTATGTTCAATCAAGGTATTGTGCACTAGATGTTCATTCTTGACGCGGGAAACAGCAGTTTAAAGATTGCTCAGTTTGGTACGCAATAAGTGAGGTAACAACAACAAAATCTGTTTATTTTAAGCAGTGCTAGTCATACAAGATCGAGTACCTCCAACTTTAAAACTGAAACGTCATGGGCAAAAAATTCAGCACCAAGAAGTCAGAGGAACTTATTAAGTGTTTACAAAATGGACTCTGGTAGGTTTACCACAGCGGTTCTGGGATTACTATTTCAGGAGAGCCTGGGCTGCAGGATAACATGGTAAATGTTGTATTTTGGTGTCGGACAAATGAACCTTAGAAACCTATTCTTTAATATATCTACCCTCCTTCAGACTCGTCTACTAAGCAGC